AAAAAAAAAAAAAAAAAAAAAAAAAAAAAAAAAAAAAAAAAAAAAAAAAAATATACATATTTCATTAAAAATTACAAAAGAGTTAAATGAGTCGCTAAAAATATTTTGTTGTTGTTATATGTTGTTCACTTTTATATTTCACTCACAAAAAAAAAAAAAAAAATAAAATAAAATAAATAAAAATATATAAGTATAAAAAAAAGTAAAATAAATTAAAGCAATAATAAGAAACTATTAATTTTTTTCGGATTAGATTCTTAGCGGATCGATTCGTCGACTGCTCATCTGCCCCGTGAAGAGCTTTCTGGCAGCTATCGCCGGTGCCGGCGATGCCGCTGCCGCAGTCGCTGCCTCTGCCGCTGCCGCGGCTTGTGTATGTGACGGTGGCGTCGCTTCTTCTTGTGGCTGCCCTGCTTGCTGCCGCTGGGCTTGCGGCGCCTGGTGACGCGCTGCTGCGCTGAGCCGGCATCGTCCAGCTGGGCGGGCAGACTGTGGTCCAGGTGGCGCCAGCGTCGCGTGTCGTTGCCACTGATGATGGTCGTCGTTGTGGTGGTGGTTGTGGTGGGCGTGGTGAAGGTCGGGCTCGCCTGCGGTATCACAATGATGTTCTCGGTCGCCGGCTCCTGCGGAAAGAGGCCGCGGAAGAGCATGAACTTCTTGAACAGATCTCGTCCGCTGCCCACCTCCGTGGCGCTGGCACTGCGACCCGCCGTCTGGGGCAGACGATAGCCTGAATGGGCAGAGGCAAATGCAATTGATTGTGCAGGAGTTGATGGAGTTCAGATCTCACCGGTTCGCAGCGTCTCAGCGCCTTGCAGCAGCAGCGCCAGATAGACCCCAGCACAGCAGAGCATCCACTTGCCCACAGATCGAGCTGGAGCATCGTATCTTGGCATCGTTTGGCGGTTCTAGCAGCAGACTCTGTGCGCTGCCCTGGCTGGGTAGCGACGCTTTTATAGATGACTCCAGCCATGATGCGGGATGCAATTAAAAAGTTTCACCCGAGATCTAATTGCGTGCTTGCGTGCGCGACGCTGCCTTGACATGGTATCATTAGAGGCGCTGGGGTTGCAGCCATGGCTGGCGGGCACGTAAATCAAGCGGCCAGTGTGTATGTGTATGTGTGTGAGTGAAGAACTCATAGACACACACAGAGAAAGAGAGAGAGAGAGACAGACATACGCTGAGATAAAGTAAGTAGCCGAGGCACAAGTGAAAGTTGTAGGCACAGTAAATCAAATCTAATAAACTCGACAATAAACATGCGCACATAAATCTCGGAAGGCGGCACGAACGAAAAACTGGCAAATCAAGTTGCAGCCCAAGCAACTATGCACACACACACACGCACACACACACACGCACACACACACACGCACATTTGGCTTGTATTTGTATCTGAGAGATACAATACTTATGGCTGGCTAAAGTAGCAGCCCGAGCGTGTTGTATAAATAAATAAACGAATTTATGTTTTCACAGCCAGCCTCAATCTTTTGTGCGTGTGCGTGTGTGTGTGTGTGTGCGGCATATTTTTTTATGCACATATTTATATTACATGACCACTTTTGCGGCCAAAGGATGTGCGGCAGATAGTGTCAGTGCGTGAGACACAGAGGCAAATAACTTTAACATAATTCACTTAAATCTTTTCGGTTTAATCTTGAAAAGTGTTTCACATACACAGAAAGAGAGAGAGAGAGCTATAGAGAGAGAGAGACAGACACAGAGCCAGGCATTAAGTGTTTCATTCAGACAGAGTTTGACAGAGAGACAGAGCGACAGACAGACAGAGGGCGAGAGCTGTGGAGTCCTGACAGTCAAGTACATTGTAGTACACACACACACACACACACACACAGCTGTCCAGCAGCTGCAAATGTAGCTGTATCTGTATCTGTATCTGTATCCATGTACGATACGACACGAAATGTATCTGGCTTTGTATGCCAGCTGTGCGTAGCTATGCTTGACTTCAGCTTTTGGCGCCCAAGTCCAAATGTTTTCTTGTAATTTCGCAAAGTGTTGAGTCAATAATCAACAGGATCTCATTGGGTCCTTAACCCGAGGCGAAACTGATTAACAAAACACAAGAAAAATATTGAAAGCCAATGGAAAATTTCATAAATTACAATCTGAATGGAGAGGGAATGGAAGTGAGGAGAGCTGAAGACAGGGGAAGTACTATATATAACAAGTAGGGAAGCTTTAGTTAAGACTGCTCAACTACGAGATATGCCCTGAACGCTTTGAGCAACTGATATATTAAGAAACATGCTTACATAAGAGATACACACACACACATGAGCACGCACACATAAGCAGCAAAAGAAAATTGGAAATTCTATGAAATACTCATGAATCTATATTGAAAATTCGGAGACTCTAGCTCTAAAGATGTAGGAGAAATGATTTTATTACAGACTCTCGATAAGGTTTTTAATCGCTAACTAAATAACGGTAGTAGCTATCGATTTTTGGAAACCAAGTCGATATGCGGGTGGCATATGCGGACTCAAACATAAAAAAACAAAGTCTCTAAGTCTTATATATTCTGAGATCGACGCGTTCACACATAAGTCGCCGCACTGATTTTCCATTTTCAAGGGATTTTGTGTACAAAATTGATATACGTGTATTCATTATGTATATTATTTATGGTATTTTCTATGTATACTTATCTATATTTCGTTGTGTGCTATAAATATTGATGTCTCTATTAATTCTATTTTATCTAGTCGCCTTTGAAGTTGCCATCATTTATAATTTTGCTGTGGCTGCTGTTGCTGTCGCTGCGGCTGTTTGTGATAAAATTCAATTATAACATTTTCTATTAACTTAAAAGCTTCTTATATTTATTTAATTTGTTATTGTAGCTTGGCTGTAGTTGTTGTAGTTGTTGTTGTTGTTAGTTTTGTTCGACTTGCCAATTATTGTTGCCATCAACAGCACACCCACACACACGCACGCACAGAGGTCGATTTTATGAGTGCTGCCATCAATTAAGAGCTCCTTGGCAGCTGTGCGTCTGTTGGCCATCTTTCTCTTGGCCGCAATCTTATGGAAAATAGTTGACATATTACAGCCAGGCTAAGTGTCTAACTGTCCGTCTGTCCGTCTGTCTGTCTGCCCGTTCGTCTGATTGCATTTATCTGAATATCCATTTTCATTTGCCAGCATATTTCGATTCATTCACGGCCCAGCTCCAGCTGCCCGAGCGCCCATTAGCCCGATTTCAATTTATTAGCACTGCTTCTTCTTCTTCTTCTTCTTCGTCCTCTTCGCATTGTTGTTGGCCTGAATTGAATTGTTATGCAAGCAAATTAAATCGATCTACTTAAAATATGAACGAAATGCATTATGGCATTCAGCTCCGGCCGTTCGATGGCGTACGCCTAATAATGCTAAATGGACTCCACTCGTTTACAAACGGAAAACATGCGTAAATTAAGCCTCAAAAGCAAATATGCAACGTCTTCGGCTAATAATGGCCACTTCATCTCAGCAGCATTTGCTGTTGTTATTAACAGATTTGTGGTTTTTGTCTACCCAAACTACTGCTAATAACTTGAGTGCCAATCGAATCTGAATTTCAATAAACAAACCTCCACGCAGCACGGCACTCAATGCGGATTTAGGCAAGCATTGTGGAATTTCCAATGAAAGTCATCTTTGAAGCTGGGAATAGCTTCGCATTTGCGAGAATAGTGAAAATTCGTTGTAAGCTAAATTCATTCCCATTCAGATAATTCCAATGCCTGTCAAGCTGAGCAGCCCATTGAAAATGCTAATTCGAGCTTGGCTGCAAGTCAAAAGAGGCGTGGTCAACTCCAAGTTTGGTCAGAATGGACTAGAGGAAACTGAAGGTAAGCAGATACGAATGGAGATTGAGAGAGTCTTACGAGAATTTACATATATACCTATGTATACCTATTATACATCAAATTAAAATATAAATATAAAATAAATATTATTTTTTAAATATATTTTCATTACAGAATTCAAGCTCTGTTATTTGCCTGCTAAAATAATTTACATAAAAAAAAAAAAAATGGAAATTAAATCTAATGCTAAATGCTAGTCAAGTAAATGCGGTGCGTGGCCAGTTAGCGGGGATGGGAGTCGTGGGGGTGGGAGCGGGGTGTGTCGGGTCAAACGCGCGCCTAGAGGTACTGGATGCGGCGAATGCTCTTGGCGAAAGCCGCCAGCGGATTCCTGCTCTCGGTGACAGCAGCGACAGCCTGTCGCTGCCTGAGACGCTGGCCCAGCAGCGGGAAGCGAGCGTCGCCCATTTTGGGCGAGTCGGTGCTGGGTAGTGCCGCGTCGGCCGAGCTCTTCGGCTGATCCGCGTCCAGGGCATCGATGGCCAGCGACGCATCATCGTCGCCCTCGCGAACGGCCAGAGGATCGACGTCAGCGCCAGCGCCCGCTGTTAGCTGGCGCAGCATGCGCAGATTGAGGGGCACATAGCCGACCGCATTGTTGCCGAGGCTGACGGGCACCAGGGGCACAGCGCCGCCGAGGCCACTGAGCCGGTTCAGGCCGTTGTAGCCAGCGAAGACGTTGGCGCTACTCACGCCGTTGCCGTACATCTGGGCGGAGCCGTAGTCGATCAGATTGTAGGGCAGAGCCAGGCCCGGCTGCTGGCCCTGGCGCGTCTCGAAGTACTGCACCGGCATCGACATCGACACCGGCATGGGCATGGGCATCACCTGAGGGCTGCGCACGATTTCCCGGATCACATAGCGCTGGCCGCCCTCGGGGGGGGCCTCGGTGGGTCCGGCGTTGATGTTGGTGTTGTTCACCCAAAACAGAGTGCCGTTCTTCTCCGGCAGGTCCCATTTGTGCCTCTTGAGGAAGTGGAAGCGACGCGACTCGTCCACGTTGCCGGGCGACTGCCTCGCCGCCACGGCGGGCACATTCACCAGCAACAGCGGCTGCCGCTGGCCCGCAGCCAGCTCGGCTAGCTCCGCATAGTCCGGCTCGGCCTGCTCCAGCTGCTTGCCATGCTGCTCCTCGGCATAGGCGCTGGCAGTGAACTGCTTGGCCTGCTGCTGCTGCTGCTTCTTCTGCTGCTGGAGCAGGGCCAGCGCGGCGCGCCGCAGATTGGGCTGGTCGAGCGGCGTCTCGATGTACACGTCGTTCGAGTCGAAGGTGGTCTGCCACATTGGCTCGCCACTGCGCTGCGTGGGCCCCATGCTCGTCGAGCTCGTCTGCACGCGTCGCTCCCGGCCCAGAGAGGCCGCCCGGACGCCACCCACGCCCAGCGAGCCGATCACGGCCAGCGCTAGCAGTAAACTCCCAATTCCTTGCACTCGCAACATCTTTGCTTCCTTTATGCTTCTCTTGCTCTTCTTCTTCTTCTTCTTTGTGCTTGTGCTTGTGCTGCGTTGGGTCGCTGTGGTCTGCGCTCTCTGCCTGGCCACAGGTCGTCCGGCCCGGCTTATATAGTGGCTCCAGTTGGCTTCAGCTGGCCGTGGCTAATGAGCGCCATTTATTCGACTGTTATCGCCGACGCTTATCGGCGAGTCGAAGCGTTCTGGCTTTCATCGCGATAGCCAAGCGAGCCCATTAATTTTGCTTGGCGCAAGTTTTGCCTGATCCAAAGCAAAGAACTTGACGCTAATTGCGGCGAGGACCAGCCGCAGCTGAGTGCACGAAAGGCTGCAACGAGCCATTGACAGATATGCATAGAGGAGGAGAAAGAGAGAGAGCGAGCGAGAGAGAGGGGGAGAGTGGAAGTCGTATACAGATAAATGCTTTGCTAATTGAGTTATGCATTCATCGTGCATTAGTTTGGCAGCTCTGGTTAGTTCTTGGCCCAAGTTGCTGGCGACTTTCGTTTGTTTAGCCATCTGCCCAAGACAAATATATAATAGATTAAACATATATAGTA